CCGCCTGTCAGCTCTACATCCTAACGGATCTGTCCACACCGCCGCCTGTCAGCTCTACATCCTAACGGATCTTGAATCTGGCTGCCTCACCAACCCCAGCCACCCGCCATGCAGGGCTGTCCTGTCTCTGCCTGGACGTGGTGACTGGCTCCTTATTGGTGTTCCAGGAAAATTCCATGCGCCTCAGAACCGTTGTGTTGCTCTCCACTGCACCCAGAGGGAGACCCAGCGTCCTGGACACGTGGCTGTGATCCTGTGTCTACTTCTTTCCCTCCTTTCCCCCATCTAGTTTTGTTTTGGCCCCGGGTTTCCCTGAGCTTTCTTCCCCTTCCTGGGACAGCTCCTTAGACCTGGCAGCACCACCCCTGGCTTTTCACTCGGCGCTTCCCTTCTTGGCCCCCAGCTTTCTCCACGAGGTCGGTCTGTCGCTCTCCATGATGGCACTCTCCAGGGTGGGGGACAATGCACGCGTCAGTGTGTCTGTTTAAGGTGAAGCCTCTCGGACTACAGGCTCCAAGGGGAGGAATCATGTTTTTATACTGTACTGCCTTAGAGTAGATAGATGCTTGTTTACTGAATGAATACCTAGACCTTTCCAGAGTTCTGGGAAGGGTTTTAGAACCACAGCTTTCTGGAAAGATCTCCAGTGTATTTCCCAGATTGCACAAATTCTGCAGAGTGCGGAGCCGACCTTTGACCTGCTGACCCAGGCTAAGTGGTTACATTCTGTTCTAGTGGCCTCCTGCACAGTGTTGAGCTACTGAGATTTCTCCTTGCTTGATAACCAGAGAAAACATTTACGTGAAGCAGGCTGCTGTAGTATGGAGTGTCGGAGGAGAAGGAAGGAGAGAGAAGGACGATGAGTTCCTCTGTGACTGATGCTCAGAGCCACAAGTGGGTACAGGAAACACACCTGTGTGCCGGCAGAAAACCTTAAAGAATGGATGTGAATCTTAGAAGCAAATAAGATAACTGATGATTTGAAACTGAGTTTGGCTTTTATTTTAATGTGACCACATCGTAAGTACTTTTGTGGTATTTCCATTGGGAAACTATTCGTACTCAGTTCTCCAGGGACGTCTCAAAATGGCTAGCTTGGGCTACAGTTTCCTGCCCCTTCACGGCCTCTTCTGACTTCCCACTTGCCCTTCACCTTGGCTCAGAAACTCCTAGATGAGAGGACTGTGAGAAGATACATCTGGAATGGTGTACAGAATTCTAGAGGCGAGCTCCTGGGGTGGGGCAGTCCATGGACTGCGGGACAAGCAGAGGTCAGGACAGGTATTTCACCACTGGCAAGGACCAGGCACAGCGGGGCCCTGGACAGCTTCCTGCCAGAGTCGAGTTTGGCAGGTGAGCTTCTACTTCAGAAAGACAAATAGTCACACAGGGAAGGAGCCAGCAAGCCCTCCTTTGCCTTGTGCTTGGGTAGAAGCCCGTCTGATGGATGCCAGTTTGCTATTATGTCCTACTTGAAAAAGAAATCAAATCTCAGGCTTAAACAACTGTGCCTCAAGGGCTACATGCTTCTGACACCTTCAGAAATCCTGCTCTGAGGCAGTAACTGATTCAACGAGCCTTCTGAGGTTGCTGGTTAGCCTTTCAGCCTGTGCGAAGGCATGGCCACTCTGCCAGTTTGAGCACCTCAGGTCTTTCTGCAGGGCTGGTTGCCTTTCCCACCCCCACACGAAACCCCTGGCTGCGCTGGTACCGGCCGGGTAGAGCGTGGCACAGCACCTTGCCACGGCGTTGCCCCAGAGTGGTTCTCACATCCACATGTGAGGAGCATAGGGGAGTGCTTGTTAGAGTCACAATTCCCAGGGTGTCACCTCTGTAGATTCTGATTGTCGGTCCCAGGACTCTTTTACCAAATGCCCCAGTGGCTCTGATCCTGTGTGCTTAGAAAGCCTCGAAGCAGGTGATGGTGAGAGTGGAGCCAAGCAGTCTCAGCCTCTAGGGAGGACACTACCCTTGTTCCTTGAGCCTGTGCTACCAGCAGATCAGTCCTGGGAATTGACTGCTGATGCTCACCCAAGGTGACCATCCTTTCAGGGCCTGGATCCCATGTGCTCACCTGCGAAGGGACAAATGGAGAAGGGTGTGTGGTGGCTCAGGCCTGTGATCTCTTTAGGAGGTCAAGGCAGGAGGACTGCATGGGGCCAGGAGTTTGAGCAACAGAGTGAGACCCTATCTCTAAAATTAAAAAAAAAAAAGGAACTGAGCACAAAGGATCATTTCAGAAAAACTTTTATTGTAAATTCTATTCTGCATATTGATTTTTGAGGAAAAAAACACTGGAAATGCATCTTCCTGAGAAAAGGAATGCAAATGACAGACACATTTTAGTTGCAATAAAGAACAAAATAGTCAATCAGCATTTTAAGTCACGGTCATTTAGGCAAGGTACATTACAGATAAAGGGTGTGATCTTGCAGGAGGTTCATTAAAAAAAGAGTGTTTCCTCCCTAGAAAAAGCATTATTTGGTATGATCATAGGTGGATACCAGGTGTGACTCCCGAGCACCATCTCTACTAGTGGAGAGCCGGTCAGCAGGCTGACAGTGGGGAAGGGAGGCTGCAAGGCCAGGCCCCCCGGCCTGCTGGGTCTTCCCGACTGGCTCTACTTGGGTCCAGAGAAGGGAGTAAAGGCCTTGTCCCGGCCTGCCATGCAGGCTTCAATTTCATCCACAGTGCGGGGCACGCAGGTCAGCAGCTCCATGCCACTGTCAGTCACCACCACGTCCTCCTCGATGCGGACCTGGGTCAGGCAGAGACACTCATAACTACAGAGCTGGCTTCCTGTGCGAGGACAGAGGGTCAGACCCGCTCTGGCCGGCCCCAACACTGAGAGGAGCTCTCCCTGAGCAGTGGATGATACTCCTGAGATGGAGGGGCTTGTCTCAAAGGCTCCTCCCACAGGGCCATCTGCTCCTGTCACCTGTTAACTCTGTCCTGGCCAGTGGAAGGAGCCCTACAGCAGGCAGGGGTTTTGCAGAATCTGTCTCCTCCCACTGAGGGCTGAAGAACCTGTCAGGTGACAGCCACAGGAGGGGCAAGCCAGACCCTTCTCCAATGAGGCAGTAAAGACTGTCCCTCCTCCCAGGAAGGCCCCTGAACAGACACAGGTGGTGAGCAGCTGCAGTGGGGTGGCAGATGTTATGGGAGCAGGAGTTCGGGGCCCTGGGGCACTTACCCCACCAAACCCGCGGAAGCGCTGCAGGACCTCACGGTTAAAGAAGCAGGCACGGGCTGGGTCAGCCAGGGCCTCGTCCAGGAGGTGGTCGATGAAGTAGATGCCCGGTTCCACTGTGAGTACCATGCCTGGTTCCAGGTGGCGTGCGGTACGGAGGCTGCGCAGGCCAGGCTCGTCCACACGCTCCACACCCTGCAAGGAGAGGTAGGGAGGGGGGACCCAGCTGATGGCTCCAGGGCTGGCCACTGGCACCACCGCCTCATCAGGGAACAGATGGGCAGCTGAGGGCCAGCTTCAGCCTACAGTGCCGGGCCACGGCACTTCTGGTACAACTCTCTGCACATAGCCCCAGGTTTTGAGTGTCCCTGGCCATGTGCTGCCCTTGGAACTGCCTCCACGAGAGTCCTGTGGACACCCCTGTGCACAAACCAGGGCACACTGCCCAGACAGTCCTTTTGGGCAGGCAGAGTGTATGGCTGCCCTCACCCAGGCCCCTCTCTCAGCCAGGGGCCATGGTAGCAGCCAAACCACTGAAGCCAAAAAAGCTCTTAAGGATGCTGTGAGGCCTCCTGGGCCGCATCTTTCCTTCCAGCCCACTCCTTCCAGGCAGTTCAAGTGGAAACAGCCCCAGAAGTATGGGTCCCAGGTTTTCCATGTGACTGTCCAGGAAGAGGGACAGGTACGGTTATCAGGATGGGCCTGCTAGCACCAGTGTGTACCTGTGCAAACACGCACGTGCCTGTGTGTGTGCGGCCTGGGGTGTGACTCCCAGAGGAACATACTAGGCCCCTCCGCTGAACCCTGGGAAACAACCCCCAGTCTTTGGGGAGGAATGAGCGACAGTGAGCTGCTCCGTGAGAAGCCCCTGTCTGTCCCCACTTGCCCTCCAGCACACATCAGCCTGAGTCTACCCGCTGGTACAGGCACAGCAGGTGGAGCTGGGGACAATGGCACCAGAGTTCCTGCCTTGCCCTGGGCACCCATCCAGCCTGCAGCCAGGGCCCCGGAGCGAGGGGCCATCATGTAGCCCTTTTGGTCAGGATCTGAGCTTGCCCTCCCTGCTCCCCCGGGAAGCCGAGCTGTTAGAGACAGAGCTGTCATTTCTGACTGTTTGGGGGCCAAGAACATCAGACTTCAATTAGTGGTTCATGTAAGGTAACCAGAGACAGGCTGGCTCAGCCTCTGAGGCTGGGCATAACAGGAAAAGCAGTGACTGTGACTCCCCAACGGCAGGGACAGCCACCCTGACCTGGTCTGAGCAGGCCGGATTGGAGGTGGAGGCCTCAAGGCACCACAATCCCTGTGGGTAATGCTGTAGGTACAGGCACCTGACTGGTGGGGTCCCTCACCCATGACACTTTGATCAGGGTCACAGACCTGGAGGCTAGGCAGGAAGGCAGGGTGCCCCAGGCGGAGGACCTTGCCTGAATTGATGGTCCCTGTGCTCAGGTGAGATGCCATGGGGCATCAGTCCTGTTCACAAGCTGCTTGTTGGAGTTGGGAGTCCGGGGCTTTCTGCTCCAGGATGTATGTTCCTGCTCTCATCATCCAAAGCCTCTGCCTGTCCCTGGCATCCCCTGCCTGCCCCTTCACTTCACACTCCATGCTATGCACCCGTCTCCTCCTCTCCACCCCAGGCTGTCAAAGCCAGGGGCCTGGTGAAGGCGAAGGTGTGACAAGGTCAGGCCTTTTCCCCAGTCAGCCCTGTCATCAAAGGTTAGGTTCCAGGCCAAGCTGCCCCGTGGGCATGCAGCAGAGGGGCAGGATTGTGGAAGACGGAGAGATGTGCCTTCCTCCACTCAGAAATCCTCAGGACCACCACTCACACTGGGGTGGGTGAGACTGGGGGCAACGCAGGGGGCCACTAAGGATGTGCGGCAGGGAGGCAGGGTTGTAGGGCACAGAGAGATGTGTTTTCTTCCACACAAAAGTCCTCAGGACCACCACTCACACCGGGGTGGGCAAGACTGGGGGGGGGATGCCACAGGTCACTGACGACAGTCACCCTTGAGTGTTAGCTCTTGGGGTCTGCCCTGGGGGACCTGCTGAGGAAAGTGCAGGCTGGTGGAGAGCAGGAGCCCCGAGCCCTGAGCCCTTCTGTCGCACGACTGGCAGCCTTGTGAAGGTGGGGAAGGGTCTGCCCTCCTGGCCCTCACCCAGCCCTGTCTGGGCACAGGGCTCCACAAGGCCTCAACTTTTACTGGGCTGTGAGCAGAGGAGACCCAGATGTCTGAGGGCCTGGAAAGAAATAAATGACTTTTATAGGAAAGCCATATTTTTTTCTACAATGTTTATCTGTCAGAAGAATAGACTCTGAGTACAAAGGACAGCTTACTGGAAAAGATGAAAATAGTTTGCTGCCAATTTTCTCTGGTGGAAAAAAAGTGCTTTGGCGACTAATGAATAACGAACCTCAGCTAACAATGTCTGGAAGCCCTGTTCTTGGCTCTCTGAAAACAATGGGATGAATAGAAATTAGGAAATTAAAACTGATTTTGTTTCTCCAAATTTAACTGTTTACACTTGAGGAAAAAATAATTGAATAATAATGCTTCTCTTAAGCAATCCCCCCACTCCCCCCCACCCCCAATCTCTTTAGTGCTTTCAAAATACCCTGCAGCCAAGAGGCCAAGCCTGTCTTGGCTAACTGACTGGTGGGCCCCAGGGCGTGCACCGATTGCATAATCAGCCCCCTGCACTGTGGGCAGCTGGCCAGGCGGCAGGGACGGGCTTACCCCACACGCCCGCCCGGCCCAGAAATGCTGCAGCCACCTGCCTGCTAGGGCCTCCCTTCAGCACCCTCTGGGTGGTCCTCTGAGGGCTGGTGGTAGGACAGGGAGGAGCCTTTTCTGGAGATGGCCCCCAAGCCTCCCTCTCCTGCCAAGGGTCCCAACAGTGCCTAAACATGGGTGGCTGCAGGGCCACAGGTGTGTTGCTCAGCAGCCTGGCAGCATAGGGTGCATCAGTGCAGGAGTGGGCCGGGAGTGGGCCAGGGGCGGTCACCAGGTAGGGGTCTTGCCACCCTGGTCAGAGAGAAACCAAATGCAGGAGCACAGGAGGGGTGCAGGGCAACTCCGTCACGAAGCCTGGCTTCTGCCCTGTGTCCTGCAGGACCTCCTGGGCGGTACCATCTACCACCCCCTGGGTGGGGCCCTGCGTACAGAAGATTCCACCTCTGCACCCGCACCCTGTGGACGGGCCACTAGAGGGGGAAGGCTCATGGGTCACCCCTGCCTTGCACAGGCCCTCTCGAGGGTACCCCGGGGAGCTGGGGGCCCTGTCACTCTGTGGCACCAGCCCTGGCTGCCTCCCAGAGCCCTGCCCCACTGTGGGGTGGCCGGGCTCAGTGACAGCCCACAGGCAGGCCACCCTGGCTGCTGCGTCCACACTGACCTCTGGATAGCCTCCCACGTCGTGCACATCGATGCCCAGGAAGTGGCCGAGCCCGTGAGGCATGAACACGGCTCCCAGGTGGGCCTGGGCCATGGCGTCCATGCTGCCGCTCAGGATGCCGATACGGGTCAGCTCCTCCAGGTGGATGCGGTCGGCCAGGCGGTGCATGTCTGGCCACCAGACACCTGCAGTGAGCCACAGAGGCTTCAGTGAGCCATAGAGGCCAGCAGCCAGCTCCCTGGCAGCCCAGCCGGGACCCACCGAGCCAGGAGCACGATGGATGCAAAGCCCCCACGTGGCTGAGGCAGGAGGGTCTGGGGGGAGGGGACTGGGGATGTGGGCCAAGGTGGCCCTCTGTGCAGGGCTTTCGTAGCCAAAGCTCTGGACCTGGGGCCCCTTCCTGTCTTTTCATTTTGCCCTCGGGGACAGGTTCCTGTCACCTGTCTACTCTAGGCCATGGTGTGTCCACCTGAATGGCATGTGCTCCTGGGGCCAGGCAGCCTCACTAGATCCCTGAACATCAGCAGGTCAAAAGCAAGTCTCCCCAGCAGCAGGCATGGGGCTCAGGCCCAAACCCTGCCCCAAAGCTTCCGGCCTGGGTTTTGCTGCTGTGGGGCAAAGGGGAAGGGTGGCTGGAGGAGGGGGTGTCCGCACACATCCCAGAAGGGGGCGAATTACCCAGAGCTGCTACACTGCGGGGAGCAAAGGTTTCTGGGGTGAAGGTGCGGCTGGCAGGAACCTGCACCCCGCCCTCTAATAGCACCAGGAGCCAGGCGGCCATCTCCACAGGAGCTGGGAGCCCCAGCTGCTAATCAAACTCATCTTTGTCCCATGTTTCTGGGACAAAGGTCACCGTCTCCCAAGCAGAGCTTCAGGGGCCACACAGGCTGTGTGGGGCTCGGGCCGGGCCCCCCAGGTAAAGGGCGCCCTTGGGGGCTGTGAAAAGGCATATGGAAAGTGCTACCCGCACAGTGCCTCGCCTGGCACCAGGGAGTGCCCTGTCCTCTCTGGGCTCTGTGGAATCCCTGGCTTCCAGCGCCACCTCTAGACTCACACAGCTCCAGAAAGGGCCATCGGATGGTGAAGCATCCTGATACTATGCAGCTGAATTTGCATGCGCTGTGTCCTCAGGACACCTGGACAGGTGGGCAGGGTGAGGGCCCAAATCACTGTGCCATGCTGGCAAAGTTCAGCCTCTGGCCCCCAGAGGCCTCCCTGCCACGTCCTACCTGGGCTCAGATCTAGAACCTGCCTACACGGAGCCCCACCTGGTGCTCCACATGGTGATAAACACTGCACTGGCGAGGGCCAGGCCCAAGGCTCAGGGCTCTGAACTGCTGCTGCTGGCACAGGGTAGACAATGAGCTGTCAGAGGTGACCAGGGATAAGAACCTTCCCTGGGATGCAGGCCATCACCCCTTACACACCAGGCACCAGTCCCCCACACTGAGGCCTCCTCCCTGCAGAAGGACACTCCGCAGTTGGGGTCCTGAGCTAGCTGGAAGAGCAGGACATTGTGGAGGTGGTAGGGCTGTGACCTGGCCAAGTCACAGGGCAGTGCTAAGCCAGGGCCTCAGGGAGGCGGGGGTGGCAGAAAACAGCAGACCTACCCACCCACACCCTACAGAGAGAAGGGGAGAGAGAGGCAGGAGAAGGGAGAGGGGCAGAAGGAGGGAGGGAGGCAGGTTGAAAGGAGAAAGGTGGGAGGGAGAGAGATTGTCCCTGGAGCCCAATACCCTGAGGTGTCTGGCTACAATGACGCAACCTGTAGGGAGAACCCACGCAGGCCTGGGGCACCTCTGGGGCCACTGCCTTGTGTCTGCGGCAGTCCTGGGTGTACACACCTGGGCTGGCCCAGTCCACAGCCCTGATTGCAAAGCCAGGGTGGGGTTTTCCTCTGATGTAGCGGCAAACTCCGCCCCTGTGAGCCTCAGATGTCATGTCTGCCAAATAGCCACAACACTCTCCCCAGCAAGCTGGCCTCAGTCTCCCTGGCACGTCTTGGGGGCAGCACCCCCAACAGTGGCAATACCTCTCTTTCTCCAGAACCTGCGACCAGACGCTGGTTCCAAATTTTTTCAAAGAAAGGGCTCAGACCAGTCTGAGTGATGTCCCATGTCCCACTGCTTCTGTCTCAGACCCTTG